CTCCAAAGAATCCCTTTTGCACAGGGAAAAGAGATAACTAGATTGATTAAGTGGCAAATAACTTCTAATCAGTAAGACTCTGAGTGAGGGCTTGAGAGATAAAAAAAAAAATCTGGCTCTAATAGAGGGGTTTTTGATACTTACCTGAAAATGCAAGGTTACTGACAGAAGAGACTTATAGATAAGTGGTCAAAGTCTTAACTAATGAGACAATAATTAAAATAAATTTATATTAAATCTATTTCCTAATCTGTGATCCCCCTTGATTAACATGAAAATGTGCATCCTTGATAATATTTGAAAACTAAATAAAGCCAAATTTGTGATTAACACTAACCTAAGTAATAAGGCAAACTTCTTTGGTTTCAAATCTAATCCACACCCACCCCTTTTTACCTGTCTGAATCATTGTTAAAGCCTTATGTCTATTGAGAGTCTTTGCAGCTAAACAGTACATATAAATCACTATCATATGCTCATTATTCAAGGACTAAAAATAGTACAGATGTTTCTTTGGAAATAAAGTAATGCCTTAGAGATCTATCAGTTAAAAATTATGCTCTCATTATACTGACACAATATTATGAAAACATGGCTCAAAAAGATCTCATAAAGTGTATTCATTCAGCCATCTGAGCAATAATTTCCATTAGTAGAAATTGATCCATGCCTCTATTATTTGTTGGTGATATTTTATTCTATTTAGTAGGTCATTGATGGGTGCATTATAGGACAATTATTAATGAATTGGTCAAGTGTTTGTCAAATAGCTATCTCACAGATGCCCTGCAGTCATCAATAAACACAGAGGTGTTATATTACCATATACGTGGAGATCCATATTTATCAGGGAAAAATGCTAAACTTATAAAAATATTATTTTTTCCTGGAGAAAACAAATTGTGAATAAGAAGTTTAAGGACTCGGTCGAATAATTTAATGTCTATACACTGAACTTGTATAGTTAAATTAATTTAACTTGTGCAGTTAAATTAATTCATGGAAGAATGATAATTGTGAGACTTGATATCAATTAAAATACATATTAGAGCAATAAAGAGGGTATGATTTACAATAAAATCTTCAGCTCAAATTTTTGAATGACTTGTATTTAATCTTTTTATTGCAGCAAGTGCTCTTCTTTAGTTTTCTCCCTCTACTTACTAACCCTGCTTCCTGTAGTAGATATTGATTTTGGGAAGGACCTTGTTGAGTTAGTGGAGGCCAGTTGCATCCAAATGATTCATTGCCACATGGGATATTAGAGATGTATCTGGATAGTCTCCATTCATAGTCTCTATTTCTTTAGGAGATGCAAACATCTTTAGGCCATTTATAATTACTTCACATATAAATCTGCAGTTTAGTTTGTCCTTTTTTCTGAGTTTAATCAGAACAGTGTGTTTTATGAGAGTTGGAACTAAAGTGATGTGGATATAAATTTAACTGTGATTTTTATCAAGGATGCTTTTTTGTCAAGTTGTTATGCCTTTAATTTTCCATATTTTTTTGCAGATAATACATATGTGTCAAATTCAGAAAATGATGAAGATGTACTAGTTACTACAGAGCCAATTCCAATAATTTTTCATAAAATAGCAACAGGTAATAGAAATACATTATCTTTTATTATGGGTTAATTTTTCTTAATTGCACTTAGCTTTGGTTTTTTTGTTTCTTTTAGCCAATATAACAGATACTTATCTTCAGTATCTGTAAATCCAGTTCTCCACCAAATTTTCTATCTAAAGTACATTAGTTTATTTTTCAAAAAAGTTTTAAATGCGTAAGTTTACAGTACTTAAAAAAATCCTGTTTAAATGTATTATGTTGACATTTGCTCTTCTATAAATATTTTCTGTATAGTGACAAACTGAATATTTAAAAGTCATAATCATGGCAATGAGGATAGCATGAAATTAATATAATGAGAGCTGAAGGAATCTGTACTTTAGTTCGATCACATTTTTCTGCACAATGAAAATCAGAATAGCTTGCATATCGTGTAACTCCTCAATATCACGTAATTTCAGAATATCCCATAATTCTTTTGCAAAGGAGAGGAAATCACCTAAGGGGTGAAACTCATGAATGCTTGCTAAATAACATACTGAAAACTGAAATAATTTTTAAATTACAACTCTCTTTCAGAATTAAGAAAAACAAATGACATTAACTGTTGCTTATCCATAAAATCCAAATTACAAAAGGAAAATGGCGAGGTATGTAAGTTATATTTTTATTTTTTCAAAACAGTATAGATATACTTTAAATTTCCTGGGTGTTTGTAGGTATTAATATCTTCTTTAGTTAGATTAAAATTGCA